ACCACAAGCAGCATTCAGTGTCACCTACTTTCCTAACAGACGTTCTTCTCGTTCTTCAACATTCTCCGTTGCGAGACGTGACATAGGACGTCGAAACTACACCAAACGGACAACTGATGTTATCTGTTGGCTATTTCCTAAACATGGGGTTGTGTTTTTGTCCACAGATGTGTATCTAACTAGCACTTTGAGACTATCCTGCTCAGGAAACACTCGTTCGAGTGCATTAAAACGATCTGTGAGTTTACCGGAAACATTATCGCTGAGGTGCCTATTATTCTAAACAGAATAACAATAAAAATCGATCCTTCCTGTCGACCTATTCTATTTTGCAGTGCAAAGAATGAGTATGAAAATCTTGGAGATGCAGCTTTAATTACTGTCCAACTTGACTGCTGCCTGTCTCAATGCTTCACTGAGGGACACACAACCGAAGCTACGATTTGGTTTTCAATGAGAGTTGTCCGACAGCACAGAGGTCGGCTCTATATTTTGATATTTGCTCACTTAAATAAACAAATGTGCATGATAGACTACACGGAAAATGTTATATTCTCATTCCATCTGTCATGTACTAGAGGCACTCTGGTTTTACTTTCCAAATACGAAAAAAATCGAAAACATTCACTGTCCAGATATTGAATAATCAAGTCAGTAATTCTGGTCCTACGGTAAGTTGAGAAAAAGGGGTTCGGTGGAAAGGGAAGCCGTGATCTCTCAACATGGCGAATAGACAATGTCTAGAAAAGGGGTAGAAGAGGCTTTGAAATGGACCAAGTGATCCCACTAAAGTATTTTATTAATAAAAACTGCAGCGTCAGTTTAGAAATGGAGGTTAGATATGCGTAACAAAGATTTATACAACAGCTAGTACCACGTGTCGCTGAAAACAATGCACGGCTATTAGCGGATAAGCAATTAATTTCAGTTCTCCAGCACCTCGCGGTCGCGGTTAGTTTTGAACTTGAACTAGTCTTATTATAAGAGAATTACTATGTGGTAAATGGACGCAGCGGGGGAAGTTTATAGAATGAAGTCAGCATGTGCTCACTTCCAAGTACAGACCCTAATGAGATGACTCGCACCGTTTAACGAACATCGTTTAAGGTCATGGTCATCAAGATTAAATAAATAGCAAATTCAAGCCTATATGAGAATTATTCAAAAATATTGATCTAGTTACAAAATTTGCATGTTTTATCAAAAGAGATCTATTAAATGGAGAACAAAATACAAATTAACAGGTGCTAACACTAAAGATCAATTGTAACTAACTGACGAATTGATACTGCTTTTGAATTAGCTCAACTTGGTTGGCTAGCTCGTTTGATAAATATTCTGTGTCCATCAAATCATGTCGCCGCTCCTGTCAGAATGAAAAAGATATGGCAATAAACCGATCAAACTGATGTGATTTTCAGGTCCATCTGACATGTGTCTATCATTCCAGATGGTTTCGTTAGAGGGTCACCTGCTAAGGTACGCAGTAGGCGTGCCGATATACTGGTTCGCCTTAGTTTCTGCGTTCTCCTCTTAACTCTTCAATGTCAAACTAGTGCGACAGCTGATATTAGTGCCTCTTACCAGTGAGCACAATTACCCAACCTCTCAGTGGTCTTTTTTGAAGCGTGAGGTACATCAACCAAAGAATTTGAATGCCTTACAAACCTTATAGATATTTCACATAAGGCACAATGTGTAAAGCCATGTTTTCTAGATTTTTCAATCTAATTGATTCAAATAGCTTTGCAACTCTCAAATGTTTGGCTAAATGCAACCCCTCTGTGTTCAGGTTCGTGCATCAGTGCATCCTAAATATTTTAAATTTACTGGTTTTTAAACATTTGATGTCTAGCTGAAATTAGGTGACGCTTTAAACACTAAACAAATTGGCCGAATTTTTTTTGGAGGTTCCATATTGTTTGCAAATCAACAAGCAAAAAAATGCAACTCAGTCGTCAAAGACGCATCCATTGTTGCGTTTCTAAAATCTTATATATAGCCAAACAAATGTTGTATTTTGACAACAGCTATCCGGTGAAATTTCAGCTTTGTTCTCTAGCCCCTCTTTGGCTTATTCCAGCCCGTCGCCATATCGGAACCAACCACCGCGGTGTGCGAAACGTAGACTTGTGGTCTTAGTTAAGTTTGGAAGACCAGGTCATCCACCGCGGCCAGTAACTCATGATTTTCGGATTTAACTTCCATGTAGTGATCCAGGCAGGAAATACAATGCAAACGGTACACCAAATGGCGATAGCCGTTTTGCTCAACATTTGGATAGAAAATCCCGGAAATTTGTGAAAACATTTGATAGGAGAAAAACTACAGCCACTAAGCAACACCGATGAACTTCTGCTCCATTCTAAGCAAAATTAAAGCCCAAATTCCCTGGCATTCATTCCATGGTCTTCTTAGAAGAGAAGATCTAGGCTCACTTTCAACATACCCAACAGAACCATTTGTCACATAGCTTTGAGCCAGTAGTTTCACCTCGTTCCTCAATCAGTTTTTCGATGGTTCTTGTTTTTAACGGGATACGGATAATCAAATTACGCTGATTTTTGTTTTGAATTAAGAAAACGCTTTTAGAATTAAACGAATCCTGCAGTTTTGTAATATTTAAATTAATCAGTCGCCTCTTTTCTTGGTTAGTGGATCAGTGCATAGCATTTCGATTCACGTCTAGAACTATCAGTTCGTCGTTGATTTTTGTTTTTTAATTAGATTACAGTTTTCACAGTGTTGGCAGAAGAACTACAATCCAGGAACCGTAAGAGTCGAAACAAAATCTATTGAGGTTTGCTTCAACCCACTGATTTTCTTGCAGCTCCAGTCACTTGGAAAATAAAATATAATCAATCTAGTTTGTATCAAAACAGTGAATCTCTTACATCAGGGTTTTTCGCATACACAAAATAAGTCTACTCATTTTCCAGAGAGCTCGGATATTTCTACAATAAATAGAATTAGGTGCCACTAAAAAGTGAAAGTTGGTGTGCTCGTCAGTGGTAGTACCGAAATGATTTCTTCTCGTATCACCACTATCAAACGTTTATGTGTCGCAGAAAAAGGACAACCAAAATAGTGAACATTCGGTTTAATGACAGCTGTCAGTCAAAAAAGGTAAACTTGTTTGGCTAAAAGTGAAACGATTCTTAAAGTCATGTCATCTTAATACTTAAGCGCTACTATATGCACTGTTTGTCTCAGAAAGTAGAGTACAACCTCACCAAGTTCCATAATAGTGACACTTGGAGAGAATGGAATTACCAACTGGCGTTATATTTAGAGACCACATGAGTTGAATTGGAAAGTTCTGCGCCACTGTGGTACTGTCATCATTAAATCGATCTTAGTTCACTCTAGCAGTTTAACTTCATTGCAAAACCTGTAGTTTCAAGCATGCCTTTACGAATGCAATACTTTATAGTGGCCGTAGTATTACAAGTTAAATTTTCCCTATGAATTTCTAATGCGCCCTAATAAAAAATCAAAATAAACGGTCAGGTGACCACTAAATTTGCATTCTGTACTGCATGAGTTCAAGAAACACACTTGCTATTTTCGTTCAAGCTGAAATTTAGGCGCCAGACGGTACGTCGATTCGCTTTCTGTACAAATATTCAAAGGAATCAAATAATACTCTTCCACATGTAGGAGCTTTACCTTATAAGACGGATTGAATTTTTGTTAAATCTTCTGCAATTTCAACTCAAGTAAAGCATAAGCTTGACGGAGTCTCGAGGTCTTTCGCTGTTAAAGAATTCTAAGCAACGTTATGAGTAGTGTGTTGCGCCAATAAAGGTGTTTTCGCTTCCGGGGGATAATGTCTGCGAGAGATTTCATGTCTCGGATAATTGTGTCACACATTAGTCAGTACGTCCGAGAGATAAACTTTGCTATCAAAAGCCAAGAGTATGATGAGGCTAACGGAAATTATAATCTCGCGATGTTTTAGCTTCCAACGACCTTTGAAGTGATAACTTTATTTGTGGTGATTTAAAAATTTCCAAAAAAGCTGCATCTCATTAATTCTCATTCTGTTCACTTTCAAAGAGATTTTGTGTCAAGTAAAAAAATCGTAGCAGTGATAGGATAGCCTGTTTTTTATATTCTAACCATTTTATGTGAACCTTCTTTTAAAAAGAATGAAATGATGGGGGCATAAACCGTCATTCTAAAGTGTAACAAATGGGTTCGGCGTTGTCAAAGGGGAGGGGAGATAAATCGACGATTAATATTGATGAAAACCAGATTTCGGTGCACAGAGGGAAAATCACGTGTGATAACATTTTTACAAACATTTGGGATAGAAACATTGAGCAGCGAAATATTACGCATTAGAGGAATTTGATGAAAGTATCCACGGAGATTTTCAGCTTGGCCAGCTGGAATTATGTACAGTCGTTCACGCTTGAGGTTAGATTTAATTTAATTGATCCTTTGGAGTATATAAAAGTTCACAGTTAATGCTTCGCGTGCACTTCTGACCAGTCCTCTTATTTTCTGCAGAGATGTTTGGAAGTTTGGATTGCATAACAAGATGAAAAATTAGTTAAATTAGTGGCACACGTCACGTCGTTCTTGAATTACTCCTTTTGGAGGGTGGTTTGTGAGGACTGTTGGCTTGCTCTGCCTGTGTCAATGACAACTCATTTGCTGATGACTGATGACCAGTGACTGCAATGCGAAACACAATGGCTACACGCACTGGGACTGCAGTCCTGAAGTTTGGTCCTCTTGGCGGTTTCGACAAGCTTTATTTACACCACTGAGATGTGACTTGTGGCCAAATTCTCTGTGGAAATACTCGTTCTTACGAGGTCATCTTTGGACCAGGAGTAAACATTTTACAGTCTAATGGTCCTTTCTGCGGGGTTATTTATTAGGAAACGCCAACTGACCGGTTACAGACCATTAGACAGTGAAGCAAAACTCTAATTTGCATCTTACTTACAAAAACTGGACATCCATCTCCTGAACGCGTCTTCCTGAACTTTCCTGGAGATTCACTAACTCCAATCGTTCCTCGCTCAAATCCAAGCAAATGTTACAAAGTGACTCCACGAATTGCGCAACAGATCTCCCCTTTTCAAAAGACGCAAAGCAAAATTCCACGAACAACACATACTACTCGCGTGCCTCCCCATCAGTAGTATCACCGGTTTGTAAACTTCTCAGCTCTTCTCTGTAACATGAGAGTCATTTCTTGATAACCATTATCCATATGTGACTTCACTTCTTTTGTGATTCCTCTTCTATTGTCAACTGATGCATATTGCAGCGTTCTCTGATTCTGTGAGGCGTTTGTTATTTAAGTTGGAAAACAGTTGTTTTTGATAGGATGCGTAAATTTGGAATGCGGATATTATAGGCGATGTGGATACTGACACAGTCAGCTGATTGATTATGTTTGTTACAGGCAAGCAAGATGACAGTTACAGCAAAATCGGTCAGAAATAAGGCCAATTAATGAAGCATTGATATTTTGGGGTTTATAACCCATAATAACTTATGTTTAGAACACTTAGAGGAAATGAATAGCAAACAGTGTTGATGTAAACACTTATATAAAGTTAAGACGAATGTTTAGACGTTTAGTAGTTCATCAAACTATCCCTCAAGAGTTCATTGCACATAACAACATGTTTTTAGATACCTTCAAATAAGCTTGACGTTAGGTGAATGTAAATAAAGGACCAAGTGTTTGATTTACTGGAGGCTGATGGGAAAGAAACCTTTATCAAAATGCGATGGAAAGATGTTGGAACTAGCAGGTTAGAGCTGAAACATCTTACCTCGCTACTTTGTTGAGCGCCATGAAAAAGCAAAGTACTGAAGAGTACTTTAGAATTCGGCACTAGTTAAAACGAAAAAACTCCCAAGGTTTGAATGAGAGAGTGACACGTTTAGAGCTGTTATGTTAGGACGTTCCCCATAAGATGTGCTGGGCAGCACATTTCGCTTTTGGATGTGCCACGATGTCATGTTTTCAAACAGGGTAACTGCCAGGCTGGACAAAGCTTTTGTACCAAGTTAAGGAAGCCAGTGGTTTTCTTGCCGGTCACACTCCGAATCCAAGCAGTTTCCAAGTTACAAGCACGACATTACTGTGAATTATTGAGGCTACTATAACGCACAGTTCCCAATCAAAATGAGTGGTCAGGATCTAACACTGGAGATCTCAAATCGATTCAAGTAGTAAACCACTTGGTTCCGGTGTGATTAATAAAAATAGGCGGCAATAAATTAAAAATAAATCTTTATCAGTTAATCTTTGAGGTTTTCTATAAGCAGCTTCGACTACAGTCATTCGATTTTGAACAGTATCGTAGATGAGAACAATGCGACACTAAATAAAAG